ATATATTTTTTCACTGAGTTGATTTTTAGATCTCTATTTTTGTCTGTTGTTCTAATATACCAAGGAATCTTAATTAGTATTCTTAAAGCCAGATTTGGTGCTATCAGTAATTGCTTTATGGCAGTTTTTAAGGCTTTGCTATAAGTTACACATCCGTACAGTAGGGCTGGCCTTTAGTGTTCGATATTGCACACTAATATGATCATTTCAATTAAAAGAAGAACTGACTTTTGTCTTAAATCGAGACTTAAGTATATATGGAAAAATTGGCCCCAAAAACACTTTATTATACTTCATTTATGCTACAACTGTTAATAATCGTTGTGCTAAAACTTTAGAATTAAAAAATATACCTTAGACCAGTAACTCGTTCAAGATGTAAATAGCGGCAGATGTCGTTGGGGATGATATGATCCTGGAAAAGCATATATTCGCTGATTAGACATTGTTAATTAAATCATAAACGCCTTTGATGAAGATTTATATTACAACCGTACCAGTTGCCTTGTATGCAATGTAAGCCAGCTTTTCTTAACAAAACTCAATTTTAAATTTTAACTAAAATTTAATCTCAGTAAGAATGCAGTAGACTATTCTGGCAGAATAGAAATGTCTGATGTACGAAATTAAGGTCTGGCACATCTATCGAGTGTTTTTTTAGCTGTATGCGAACTATCGATAGCGATAACTATGGTTTGATAGCTGAGAATGTTAAACTGATTTGGCATTTTATTATGAATCATTTAACGCTAGAGCAACGCTTCCAAATTGTGGAAATTTACTTTGAAAAACATAATTCTGTTCGTGAAGTTCATAGAGAAACTTGTCCATTTTACGGTCAACATAATTGGCTATCAACTAATTCGGGCAGTTATTGATCGTTTGCGCACTAATTTTACTCTTCTCGATTTAAAATTATTAACAGTTGACTGTTTGCTAAATACCTAGTGTTTTCAAGCTTTGCTGAGTTTTTGTCAGCAATTTCCCAAAATTAATCAGTTAAACATCTGTTTGCTAAACATCTAACTGTTTGCTAAATACCTAGCGCTTTCAAGCTTTGCTAACTGAGTTTTTGTCAGCAATTTCCCAAAAATAATCAGTTAAACATCAATGATATTTAGCACGTTTAACAATCTATATATTGCAATTCAATTGGGTAACAACTTTATTTCCGAAAGTGGTCCTGTTAACTGGCCTACTTGTTCGAGCGATTTAATGTCTCTCGATTACGGCACCCGACAAACCAGCAACTCTTGAAGCATTGGAAGCCAATGTTCATGCCACCATTGACGCTATACAGCCACATTTGTTGAAAAAAATTGTTAAAAATTGGACAGATCGCATGGATCATGTAACTCGTAGCCTCGGCGGTCAAAATGCCATGAAATTATCTATAAGATTATAATAAAAAAATTTTATTCCACCAATATTTCTGTCTTATATTATAA